GGAGACCACTCCGCAGGAAGTATGTTTCATAGTCAGACAGTTGAGCTCGTCGGTCAGGTGCAGGGGAACAAGTGACAAGTATCTGAAGGTAAGGCAGCACAAACTGTCTCCTGTCGTGCACTGTGGCATCCCGCCGCATTCGGTCTTTTATCCCTCGACCACTGTTAATTACTTATTTTCCTAGGAAGCTTACACGACAACTTCGTACCAGTCCAAAACGGTGAATCTGAAGCACCGACGCGGATAACGCAATGGTGTTTGCGCCAAAGCGGTTTCAGTAGTCGAAGCGACACCCGCATGCAACCTATTTCACCGATGACTGCATTGGCACTGTGACAGCAAAGTACCCGAAGGTACCGAGCATCCATGAAGCGAAAACCATGCAAGTGACCCCGGCACATTTGTCCGGAGTACACCCCACACTCCATATGGAGAGCCGAAAAGAAACTGTATCACATAAAAGCCGTCGACCTCTCCTAACAAAGTAGAGTCAGTTCCAAAGGAAAGCGTAAAATAACCTGAGAACAAAGCCAGGCCTTTCAGTGTTCACAAATCACCGTGCACGAAGACAACATTAGGTCGGACTTCTTTTCCCCCAACCCGGCAGCAGTGAACATTAAGCGCATAGAAGTGACACCATCCACCAGTTTCTTAACAAAACTCGGCCTGAACATTCCGGACACTGTTACCGAGAAACCACCCGAAGAGATACGTGACAAACCCACTAGAAAATCGGGGGTATCACTCTAGACGAACGAAAGATACTGGACGACCAAGTCGATCATCTCGTTCAACTTTAACGGACTCACTGTTGGTCAAGAGGGAACAGTCTGATAGCCGACTGCGGTCCGACTACCAGCAGAAACTGGAACTGTCTTTTTTACCCGCAACACTGCTTCGCCATTCTTGCGGAGGCCAAGACAAACCACCTTCAAGTGTGTCTTCGAGCATGGCTAAAGAAGCTGAATGTACCATTTTTCTCTCACGCCAAGCAGTCATGGTCAAGGTCCACAAAACGCGGGCGAAATCCAGCAGGCCATCGCCGAGAGTGAGGCAGAGAAAGTCAGTGGTTTGCAATCCAAACATAAACACCGCTGTGGCCGAGCATGGGACCTTGGAACTGCCGAGCGACAGCTCTGATGCAGATCAGTACCCCACAACTTCCAACATTGGCAATGGTTCCCGAATAAAGTTGGTCTGGACGGTATCAGCGGACTGCCTAGACCAACGTATCTGAAATGCACCCCCACGCCTAGACCAGTTGCCACCCAGTTCGGCTCACATTCCTCTCCCACAGACGTTCTACGTGCATGGTATAACGCGCAAGATGGCATGTGCGAAGGTAAGCCGATACCCAGGAGAGGGGAGGCAGCAACCCACAGGACCTCCGAAGCCAGTGTTTGTCACACAGGCAAACGCGAGTCATTGACTACTGAGGCTCTTGCCACTGCGGCCTCCTCAAGGCCGAAAGTAAGACTCCAAAACACGGAGGGACGACAGTCCAGTGAGTGCCAGTGATCCCATATCCAACCACGTAAGTGCTCCCTTTGCGGAAATATGCAACAGTCCTTCCTCTCCATCAGTAACACTGTGACACGTATCAACAGCAACGTTCCAGGAATCTTTTTGACGCTGCCTTGCCCTTCATATTATAAACACATATTGGTCTCCCACTAGCTCCGTTACACATAAAAAAATAGTCAGTAGGGCAATCTTGGCAACTTCCTCTTCAGATTACGACGCCGTAATCATCGCCAGCGGCTTCATCACGCCGTCCATCCCCCTCAAAATAGTAGGGAGGGACGCCAGATTCCTCGGCCAAAAACTGAAGAATGTAACGAGGCTGTCGGTCCTTCATAGAAAGTGGGTGATGTCACACGTTGGGGGCCCAGTGGAAATGCATCACCACCATACTACGTCCTGACGAAAGACGACCAGATTGGGGACTTTTACATCGAACCACTCCTGGTTTTACTGATCACTTAGCGGTAACTTTGTTCGTGATTACTAGGGGGTTCTGCAGCCAGAGATAACCGACACCTTTTCTTGCTACAGTGAGGCCAGCTATGAGACCATGGGAGATTACCTCGCGAATGCATCTTGGCCTGTAGATTGTACTCGTCTCACAACGGGCGAACACTGGATGCAGATGAAGGAAGTGGGACCATCAGCCGCAGTGTGCCGGAGGTAACACACTGAACATCAATGAGGACCCAGTGGTTAAGGCGTGGAACAAAGAGGCTACCTCAGAGGGGGGAGTCGGCTTGGCTTAAATGGTGTTAATCTCCTAGGGAGTCTGGCCTTTCGAACTACAGAAGAATTCGCAACCACTGCGGCGCAGAAGTCCACGGCGACCGGTCTAGCTATCAAACAGGCCTGGCGGGGAGGTTAAAAAGTGACCCCGAAGCCTGCACCGCCTCATGTAGAAAAGGAAGTCCACCAGCGAAGAGGTGAATCTCATTACAGATCCTAATGTCGGTGTGCTAAGCAGTCTAGGGATAGCTGAACTTTCGAGCTCACGCTTGCAAGGACCAGTTAGTAGTGACACCGAATCTGTACCGATTAGATATGCCATTGATCAGACCACAAGTAAGGAATACCTCAACCACATCCAAGTCTCAAAGTAAAAGGCACCGGAGAAGCTGTCTAGGCTCCGTTCAGACAAGTCCCGTGGTTGCGATGACCTCAGACCGGTAATCCCAAGACATTGCCTCGAGGAACTTGCAGAACCAATCCACAACCTCTTGAGGCACCCTATAGGGTCATGTGAACTTTCAAAGGGCGGAAGTGCGCCACCTTGTCACCCGCCTCCAAGGGAGCAGACAGAAAAGTTACCGGTAGCTACAGACCTAACGCCTTGCTCCCCACACTGCCTAAAGTATCTGAAAGCCCGATAATTGATAAGGTCTTGGAATTCTCTAACAGAGTAACCACTGTCCACACTGGTCAGCGTGGCTTGTGAAGGGGTCGTTCACCAACCGACTGACCACCCGGGACGACCATACTTTCAGCTTGGATAGCAGAAAACTGTCTTACTATTTCTCATGACCTAACCATATCATTTGGCAGTGTTCGACCTGCAGTTCTGCTCCACAGGATCGTGTCAGCCGGTTCAAGTGGACCTCTACTCTCTTGGTCCAAGGAGTACTCAGAAGGCAGGCAGTTCCGTACCGAAATAAGTGGAATGCGGTCGGAAAGGAGACTATCAGTACCAGAATGTTCCGAGGAGCAATCTTCAGACCACTTATGTACCTTCTTTTCGTCGCAGATCTGCCACGAAAAATCTCCCCATCCATCCTCCTCTTCGCCGATGACACTAAGATCTGGAGGACAGTAAACGAAGAGGCTGACTGTACTGCACCGCAGAATGATCTACCACACCTCTGACTCTGGTTGTTGAAAAACGGACTGAGTTTTAACCTGGAAAGGTGCAAAGTGATTCACATCAGTACCTATGAAGCAGGAACGGCCGACTTCCATCACATGTTGTGCAACCGTGCCATCACCAGAGCATTCACGGAAAACGATTTGGGGCTCAACTTCTCTGACACCTTGGACACCAGCTCCAACTACAAAGGCACGAGTGGCAGATAGAGCACCACTTTGTGCCTTGCCCTTGGACAGCTTGGTGCTCTTACCCTTGAACTGCATCTCACACTTTCAAAATCCTACAAACAGCCGCACCTGGAGGTCTTCAATATGACGGCATCCCCAACACTGAAGGAGACTCTAATCTACTTGAAAAAATTTAAAATTCTGCAACAAAATCAGTTGTGGGATTAGCGCTATAACAGATCAGTGGCTGGATCCACTGCACTGGAATCCGTCAAAGGCCTGGTACGATTTCGCAAGACCAAGAGGCGAGCAGGAAGAAATCAACTGGTTTACACAAGTTCGTTAAACGGAATTGGTGTGCTCTTTGAAAGGAAACGTAATCTTACCGAGATTTAGCATTTTAGCTTTTGTTGTGAAAAAAGGAAACGAAAGCTCTGGTTTTCAGTGAGAGTATTCCGTCGGGTTTCGAATTTGATAAGCCTATCCTATTTTGCGTGTTTTTCCGTTCATGCTAGGTTGACGAAGCATTGCATCTGTCCCAGTTTCGGTTTGATCTAATGATATTGACGTTTTTACTCCTTTTCAAGTTTTGACAGGGTCTTTTACTAATATTTTACCCCTTGCTATATTTGCCATGACAGTGGCGGCCAGAAAGATGTTCAGGAGGCAGGGTTGTTGCCAACCTGTTCAGGCAGGTATGCATGTGATACCTGCGGAGGGTGGTTCCTAGGAGCTTGCAAAGTCGTGCTTGCACATGACAACGTCAATTTTCAAGGAGGGTCAACGAAGCAATCCAAAAATATACAGACCCGTGACACCTTAATCCACACCCTACAGAGTAATGGAGTCGCTAATCGGCGATGAACTGAGGGGTCACCTTACAACGATCAACTTCTCTGCGCCCAACAACATGGATTTCGAAAAGGGTATTCCTGCATTACTCATCTGCTCGCTGCAGTAGATAGATGGGCTAGCGCAGTTGACCATTGGGGAAGAATTGATTTGATTTACATAGACTTTTCTTAGGCGTTTGATCGTGTTACTTATGACTGTCACATTGATAAACTGAAATTAATTAGGATAAGATAACCGCTCATTGACTGATTGCATTAATATCTACAAGGCTATTCATTCAGAGTTCTAGTGAGTTTCTCCATGTCCGAAGAGACAGAGTGTCCTGGTGGTGCTTCCCAGGGTTCAGTACCCTGGCTTCTTCCCTTCCCAATATACATAAATGAGATGTGGCTGTGATCTGCTTAGAAGTAATTGAATTTTTATATTTTAACCACCATTTTTTTCTCTTACTTTCTTTGTACACAGGTTAACACCTACATTAAGTAACGATAAACAGATTTTAGACGCGGAAGCCACTTTAGCAGAAGCTTCTTTTCTGTCAACAACCATTTGAACCACTAGATATGGGATATTGAACAAGCTATTAAATAGGAGTATACTTTCCAACAGGTAACGTTACATCAGCTGGGATGTCTGTAAAGGTAAGCGATGTCATTGCATATTGCTTTATTTCTCTTCGACCTTAGTCCCACATGCCTAACACTGTCAATTTTCAAGATTGCGAGATATACAAGACTGGTTTCACAAGCCTTGACTGCATGCGAAGGGATGGCAAGTTATGTGACATAACTTTGATTGTGAGTTTTCGGAATCACTGACGTCTTATTTTCAGGCTGATGCCAACCGTTTCACTGCTCACAAAGTCGTTTTGGCTGCTACGATACCCTTTTTCAATGGGATGTTTTTAAGTAACATGTCAGAATCAGTTAAAAGTGAAGTTTCAATTCATGGACTTGATGCTTGGTAATTCCTAAAAGTAACTTGATTGTTGTCTAGTGCTTTAGAAGCGTTCATCGGTTATGCGTACACCGGCCTGGTGCAAATTACTCCTCGTAACGTGCAATCTATTTTAATCGGAGCCAACTTTCTACAGCTTAATACTGTTCGAAATATCTGTTGCCGGTATATTAGCGAAAGGTCAGTTATTCAACATGGTTAACTGCTTAAAATCTACAAGGTCTTTCGTGGCATATTTCAGCGAATAATAAAGATGTATGATGGTACCACAAGATTCTACCACCCTTAAGCAGCTCCTTCAGTAAACTTAAGACAGTCTTATTTTGAGACAAGAATCGGATCGGTAGCAATAAAAAAAAAGATTTGGAACATTTGGAAAAAATCATGCTGTTCATGGTTATTCAATGCTGTGTGATAGTTCTGCGGTTTTCCAAATTGTTCGAGGTATCATGAAGTAGAAGTAAAGAACGAGTAGATTGCACCTAATTATTACTTAGTATCAATATGCAAAATAATACTGCTTCACGACCTATATTTTAGCCTCTAAATGGTGATGTTTTATTAGATAGCTTCCCTTTATAAATCATGGAACTTACACACCAATAGTTGAGCAGTCAAACTGAATATGCAACTCCCTGAGTTTGATGCCCAGTTTCAGTTTCTAGGCTTTCATTCTTAAACTCAGACAATTATTTATAACTGTCCTTCCCAGTTATACCGAACAAAAGTCATTTCTTGCTCTATAACCGAGGATTTGAGCGAATTCTGAATTATTTCGCTTGTAATAAGTGTTAGAAAACTTTATCGAGGGTCTGCATGTTAGGATATTAGCGAACAGTCACCTAGCTTTTGGTTGATAGTTCCAAAAAGTGCATCGCCGTAGACTTCCACTGGATGAAATTAAAAACCGTTCTAAGGCTCTGGGATAATGCACGCAGTTGAAGAGGGGTAGTTACCGATTAGTTTTCATCACAAAATAGCCTAAAGTCTAGGTCATGGTATTCCAATTGATTCATCAGAAACCAAAGGATATATACTAAATTATAATCAAACATCTCAGCTATTCTAGCTACTTCAAATCTATTGGTATTGCCTTTTCTGTATTTCCTACCGCTTTTTGTAGACTGACTATTGATACAGTCTTACCAATAAGAAGCTTAGCTCAAAGTTTTCTATGCACGGATTTAGTATCTTCATGTGAAACATATATTTATGAGAACTTTGAAGCTGTTGCTCGAACAAGTTCATTTTTCCATCTTGACGGAACTGAATTGATGGAATTACTGGAGTCAGATGAATTACATGTCAGCAGTGAAGAAAGATTGTTTCACATTGTCATGTCGTGGGTTGAATTTGAAGAAAAGCCAAATTTTAATCCTGAAACAAATTCAATTGTATCTGAATCCGTCAGTTCCACTGAATTATCTGATAGTTATGCTATTGATCCAAATATAAGAAAAACTTGGGATTCTAATGATGTTGGCCTTCGGGGATCGTGTTCTGGTGGATTTGTACCTTCCTTACACCATACATCTGACCCTTATTCATCTCAAATAAACAATGACAAACCTTGCAGACCTCGCACTGATTATCTCCCATGTCTAATCAGGAGAATCAGATTACCAATTATTCCAGTTAATTTTATTTTTGCTGTCATTTCTCGACACGATCTCATTCGTCAGGATATTCGTTGTAGGTAAGTTACGTCGCTAATTACCTGTTGTCCATAGATGAAAGTACCCAATGTCTAGGGTAGTTCATGTTCATTCACACTGTTTTACGATGTATGTAGTTATTTGTAAACTAATATCGAGAAAAAATGTTACATTGAGACTGTCAGTCGTAAACAATTTATGCTATTATGAAATAATGCAGGATGCTGTGTCACCGCTGGTAAGTTTATGCAGGCGCTATTTTACTGGAGCAAACGTTGTGAAAACGTCAGGGCCTCATAAATTCATAGACTCTAGCAGAACTCACTAGCTTAAGATTCTGCATACTAGATGACATATAACATGATACAATGCGGTAAAAAGTACATAAATGACACCATTAATTGAGGTGTAGCAACATTGAGATAATCAATTTTCACAGGCCAAGTAACAATGTGAAACTAGAAGAAAGTTCAAAATGATGAAGATTTAGTATATTTCACATAAATCACGACATTTCGGGCGGAGCAGATTGTGGTCATATTAGGAGTTTGATAATGGTCCGAGGCCAAGGAACCATGGGGATTTTGCTTGGGAAATCATGATAGCGATATTAGTGATAAGATTGAAATAGGGGGTTCGGCTTAAGCAGGTCACATTCGATTCATTTCATCCAGAAGAAAACAGGTAGTAGTCAACTTAGAAACCTGGTAACTGTGAAGCGAAAGATTACAAGAAAACCGGGCGTACACCAAAAATTGTCGTAACAATGGTAACAGGAAAAAAGTTTATTAAACGAAGGAGATCAGTGGTGCAACGCAAATATAACTGGTTTATTTACTATGCTATCGGCCAAGGTAATCGTTTTCGGACTTACGGTGCCACCCAATAGTCCAAGTTAAAGCAGGTGAAGTGGTTTTTATACCTAAGTCCCATTGTCACAAACCAGAGCATTTAAGAGGATGAGCCTCACATCGACAGAATAGATATGATCGAATTATTTTATAATTAATGCGATGATAGATTCAATCTGTTCACCATTTTATTTCCCCCGCTAAGATTTAGTTTGAAAACTCAAGTCTTGCAGACTTCTGCAAGGGAGGACTTTCTTGTTTTGTTATTTACTGATATTCCTAAAGAACTTGAACTTTTCCAGAATACAGCTAACTTGACTCCTAGCCTAATACATAAATCTATACTGAGTTAAGTCGTTTTATTATTCTGTCGTACTCATGTTTTACTCCTGACTTCCTTCATTTAGTAAACTTTATTTCTGTTATCATTACTATGATAATAATCTCTATACAACCATTTTTCTTGTGATCCGTAGTGCTACATTATAAAATAAAAATAGTGATTAGTGATGTTTACCACTGCACCTAACTTGAAATGTAATTGTGGAGAAGGAGAAAATATGGTTAGAAGAATCAAAGAAGTGTTTATTCATGTATTCGGTCAAACGTTAACCGTTGTAAAGAATGTCATAAAACGTTTTTCCTGCGATTTCCGTAGGCCTTTTTTGTCGAACGTAGAATAGTATTTTTGGCCATTAATCTGTTGGATTATTTGTGACGTTACTGCAGTTATGTATCGAATTAATAGAAATGTTTTCTGATTTTCAGTAACAAAGCCCGACCGAAAGCTGATACCTTGACCTAGTGGTCGGGTTCGCATATCACAAAGATTCAACGAATTATACTGGTGGAACGCTTGTTTGCTCAGGGTCCTACCACGCCAAAAAGGTCTGTTGAATATTGATGGGATGAAAAACATTTACCGTTGTAGTGTAAATTACTACACGATGATGGGGATCGGAGGGCGAATTCGTACTGCTGCTAGCTGGACGAGGTATGGCAGCGGTAAGATGTTTCCCTTGGATGACCAGCAATGCCACGCTGATGCTGCTTTCCTGGTAGGAACAGGTGGGGATTAGGAAAGGTTGGACTCAAAAACATGGCACTTCCCGCCCCGCGGTCTTCCGGTGCCGGTGTTAAGGATTCTCTCTACCCGGCGCTAGAACAACGAAACCTCAGAACGACATCCTGAAAAGAGCCATGTATGATAGGCCTCAGGCAGATGTTCAATGGGCTCTTCGGCCACACAAATATCTTCTCTTTCAGGTACCTTAAGAAGAAATATCCTTCCATGGTGTGGGGAGCCAGAAAGTGTCAACTACCCGCATGCTTTCAGTAGTAACCTCTCATTCTGCGACCATTGTCAACGATCAAATCCATCGAAACCTCACTCCCAGTCTCCTAAGACCTTGCCATAGGTTTCATATAGGAGCTTTCAACGTCCGAACTCTATGAAAAATAGTGCAGCAAATGTCCCTCGCCAGGACTCTAGAATCTACAACCATGGATGTGTACCGTGTCTCTGAGACACGTATACAGGACCCGAATGTATTTATTAAATTGACCACACCTGACTATGTAGTGAATCTTCAAGATACATCTTGCGGTTATCCGAAGACGCAGTGGCTAGCTCTCATGGACTCGCTGGTGTAGGCATAGCACTGAACTGTTGGGCAGAAAGTGCACTTCTCGACTGAATACCAGCCAACAGCCGTCCATCTGCTGTTTGACTGAATAAATAGGGAGTATCATGAGACTAGGTGACGCCTATTCGTAATCTCCGCCTGTGCATCCACCGACTGGAGTTCGGATAATGCAAGGCATGAATTCTATGAAAAGCTGTCAATCTTGCTACAAAAGTCAAAATGTTCAGATGCAGTCATAATGACAGGTGACTTTATTGCTCAAGTAGGGAAGCTGAACCGATCGGAAAGGTATCTGGAAGATATTTACGGAATCGCATGGCAACGAGCTGACAACGGTATTCATCTGTTGTAATTGTGTCTCGACAATCGTTTGTTTCTGGCCAGTGCTAACTTTAAGTATGAGGAGAGACAGTCTCTCGCCGACTTCAAAGCATCGATGGACACAGGTAGATGGCATTGCAATAAGCCATCGTCGGAAAGGATCAGCGGGGGATTGTCGCTTCTTCTAGAGTGTCTCTTCAGACTCCGATCATGGGCTAGTACTGACTTGTGTACATCTGCATCTTACTGGCCGCAGGAAACAGGATGCAGTGGGACCTACCTCCGCTCGGTGGGAAAATGAGGACCCCAAGTGCTCATTCAGAGAGGAGTTAGCTAAGCATTCATCTGGACGTGACAGCAATGGTCCTCTTGAGGAAACCTGGCATGGCATTATATTAAGTTCGCTGTTGAAACAGTGGCAAATACAGAAGTCGAGCATTTCGATCCAGTAAAACAGCGGGGAATTACAAGTACATCAGCAAGGAGTTATAGCGGTAAAGACAGTTGGTGACGTACACCCGAAGGTTGGCAAATGTCATAGATTACTGTGACGTCATCCGAAATGATAGATGCGAAAAGACTGATTCCAGCTGGCTGTGACCACGACAAAGAAAGAAAGCAACCTAACCGTAAGTTCACCAAGAGTCTTCGCGTCGATCACAAGTTGTGGGTGGCGAAGGCGAGATAGGTGGAGAAGGGGTCAGTGTTAGGTAACACTCGCCAACTATTTAGGCTTATTAAGGATACAAGCAAGAAGACGATGATGAGTGAGAAAATCACCAGAAAGGATGGGATGCTGATGGTTTTTCAAGACAGGTGGCCTAAACGTTGTATGAAACACTTTAAAGTTCAGTTTAACCGACCCTCGGAAACGCCTCAGTTGCTAACGTCCAGCGGGAAACTAAATGAAAAACGGACATCGGTCCTCCAACTCTCATTGAAGTTGAGAAGGCTGTAGCGAACCTGAAATAATGCAAACCAGCAGGACCTGACAGTTAACCACGTGAAGTTTTCAGGGATGGAGGTTGGAAATTGCTAATTAAAATGACAGAGGTATTAGGTAGTCATATTGAAGTCAGTGCTGATGATGTTTCCCAAAAAGACAATGAAAGCCTCACGATTAAACAACCCAGCTCAGAGAACACAATACAACCAAGACCATCCACCTGAGCCACAAATATTCTCCACTATTTTAGCACTAGGTAGTGTATGGAAATCAGATATAGTGCCGTCGGACTGGTTTGATTCACTGATCATCCCAGTCTACAAGAAGGGAGAGAAGTTTTCTTATGACCACCATAGGGAAATTAGTTTTACTAATGTTATGCCGAAGATCCTACGGTCCATAGTTATCCGACGCCTAACTGGAGCTTGAGAAGAGCAAACTCGAGAAAACGCTAGTCAAAGCTCTCTACTCAAACTCATGCAGCAGTGTCAGGACTTATAGAGAGTTGTGATGTGAAGCGACGACAACTAGTGATGTTCGCCAGGGCTGCCCACTGTCACCGTTCCTATTTAGCTTTGTCATATACTTACTAATGGACTTATCCTTAGGTACAACTCACTTCACAAAGATTAGCCTACTCCATGGAGATCATCTGGTTGACTTGTAGTATGCAGACAATATTGTTCTGTTAGGTGAAGATGCTGACGCACTTCAAGGTCTTCTGGATGTGTTGAGGAGAAATCTCAGTATATCTGGGTGGTATGCGTTTCGTATCTGTTAAAAGTAAGGTGATGCTCCAGAACTGGTGTGCTGCAAGTGAAGTGGTGGAATGTGTCGACCACTCCATCTACTTAGGGAGTTGCATCAACTCGAACGGGTTACTTACTGACGAAATATCAGCTCGGATACAAAGGACTCGCTTGGCCTTTGCCAACTTGCATCACCCCCTAACGCCAACTGTCCAGATATCCGACTATCTATCAAACGACAACTCTACTGCGCTCCAATCCATTCTATCCTCTTACACAGCTGTGGAACATGGCCGTTAAAAGTAGACGACATCAAGCGGTTGCAGGGTTTTGATCACAGATGTTTTCGTAGCATTGCTCGCGTTTGGAGGGATCACTGTGCCAGCGATGTTGAGGTCAAGAGAAGGATACCAGGCAAGACAGGCAAGTCGATTGATGAAGTTGTGAAGCTAGGTTTACTCAGATGGCTTGGACAATGTACTGCTCATGCCGAGCCACTGCCTACATCAATGTGAGATGCTAGCGAGCTAGGGGAAGTTGGATTCGGTTGGAAGAGGATTCAGAGTGGCCATATCAAGATGTGACACCAATGGATGAAGTCTCTCACTATGGATGTGAGTTGTGTGGGACGATGTAGACTAGCTGGTTAGGGTTCCCGAAACAAAGGGAATCAGTGGTTGAGGAATGTTGGTGACATAACTGGAAATCAGCCACACTGGCACAGATGTATTCACTCCTAGACATCTTCTAAAGCTTGAGTATTTGCATTAACCATATGTTTATTCTCTCACACAACTTTGTTGACTTTCATGTCACTCCTTTTCTATCCACCTGTTCTTTGTGTAGTAGTATGAAGCGTAGCTATGTGGGCTGATAGACCTGTGTGGGAGGTTCTACGTTGATTTTATAAGTCAGACTGTCAGTCAGTAAAGAAATTTTGAAAAGCAATGGCTGATCACTCCGATGAACTATTCAGCTGGCTTCCAGCTACTATTCTGTTGTCTACTATCAGTTAGATCCCGAATGTAACATTGGGATATACCTTCAGTTATTCAGTGATTACCTCTCATATCAAATTCTTGGATATGACTATTCGCAATAAATTCTGCTCGAAAGTTATCCAATAAATTACACTATATCACTGTGTGTATGTCAAATAAATAATCTATTATAGAACTATACTCTACCACAGTGCCCAAATTTTAATCTTACATTTTTCATGATCGAAAATCAGAATACATCAACAAAGAGCTGTAAGATCGAAAATCTACCACAAAAATCCATAATTTGTACAATTCTGCTGCTTAAAATTGCTGTTATAGTTTAGACTGTGGTATAAACGTTTACTTGTTAGTCTCAATATTCCAATCGTATCTTGCAAAGAGATGACTTTGTGCTGAGTATCGTCATTTGGACCACATTATCTTCACTAAGTTGTTGAGAATTCAAGACTTACTCGTGAAAGCCAATATTGTGAGGTTTACGGTTTTTATCAGTGCTAGTAACCTTGTATGCTGTAATCAGATTCTTCGTTAGTCGGACTATTGGTTGGCTGGCTGATATGGTGAAGAATTAACTTATGTTTAAATCTGACTCATTGCAACCGGGTAAAACTCTTAGGGGGTTTCACATCTAAGTTGATAGGATACTGATCTAATAAGTCAAGAAACTGTTGGTCTAAACTATACTTCAATGATCTTGTGTCTTTGTTTAGCTAAGATATCTTTATACACGGACGTACTGAATGCAGTTGAAGAATTCTTAAATTGCGGTGAGATTTGAACCTTGAATCTTTGGGACTTGGTCATGGAACCTAATCAACTGAACGCTAATCAAATAGCAGGTTTCAAAGTTATTACGATTTTGATTTCCTCCCAACTTTAATGGTTATTTATTTATACAATTAGAAATTTTTATCATGTAAACAGCGATGGGAAGAAACTCATTGCTATTATTTTTTGACTTTCGATTATCTCAGATTTTATTGATACTGTAATTTAATGGTGAAAATTTTCACCCAATAAACTTATTTAATTTATGAATAAAACTCCTTCTTGATTCAGAGATATTCTAGATGAGGTACGTGATATGCTTTTTATGCCGGGACAGGCATCAAAATTCTTTAATTGTCGACCTCGAAGATGTCAAGATATCTTTGGTATGATCTATGCTGTTGGAGGTTTAACTGCAGACTTAGAATGTCATGGAGTTGTTGAAACCTATCATCCTTCGCTTGGTCGTTGGGAATTATCGGAAAGCATGATTTCTAAGCGTAGTCGTATTGGAGTAGTTGCTTTAAACGGTGAGTTTAATCCTCAGTGTAATTGTAACTGAACTTGCTATACGACGTTTTTATCATTTATTGAATGAGAATTTCTTGTGTTGAGTGTCGAAGGAAAGGGAACGCTAGATGGGAATTTCCTACTCACCAGTGACAATCGTGTACGGTTACCTTTAGAAGACTCATCCTATCCTCAAAACTTGCATATTCAGAATTTTGTTCACCTGAAATTGACTGTTCTAACGTACACTTAGTAAAGTGTTTAGTATATACGTTAACAATTTTATTGTGAAACTGTAGTTAGGTAAATTGAAAATAGATTGAAGAAAAACAAAAGATAGTCGAATTAAGAGTTGGGACCAATCCGTGAATAGTAGTGGTTGCGTTGTTCACTATACTAGGAGCTAGGGATCGGAGATTTCAAGTGAAATTTCTCGAAAGCCGTCACACTAGTATAAGTTTCTTTACTTCCGATATTTTAAGTAATTATGCAAGTTTTATTATTTTGTATTTTTGTTACTCTCTCATTCATTTCCTTTTTGTTATTTTTCTAACATCTTTCTTTTTCCATTATTTCCTTCTGCCATGCTTTAGCGAATTATGGTATTCTGTACCAATAAACTTTCGTTTGAGTTCTTACACTGTTCTCCTGTAACTTTTAAAAGCTTTTCTCACATATCCAGTAGCCATCATTTATTTTAGACCCCACTACCTTCGAGAAAAATGATGCAGCAAGCTTTCTACTTTGTGAATTTTGATAGTAAGGAGTTTTGTATTGTTTTTAAACTGAGCAACTAATTCTACTACTTAAGAGTTAATCTAATGTCTCACTAATTGATATCTGTTTCTAAAAGCACACAGTTGTTAATGAAACCTTATTATCATTTGTCCTTTGGGTTCCTAGTTTAACATAGGGCTTCAGTAGCACGTCTCCATTCCACTCTGTTCTCTGTGATCTTTTGAACCTGGCTCCGCGACAGCCCAGTAGCTTTCATTTCTTCCTCACACCATCTCCTCCATGACATCCTTGGACGCCCAACTCGTTGCTTCCTCTTTGGGTTCCACTTGAGGACCTGGTGCGTGGTATCTCCGAATGGTTTTCTCAGTGTATGCCCAATCCATCTCCACTTCCTTCTGCATATTTGTTAGGAGACGGGTTCTTGGTGGGTTCGTTGCCAGAGTTCCTTGTTACCTATTCTTTCTGGCCATCTGATCTTCAGTATCGATTGGCGTAGGTGGGAGCCGTTGATGAATGTCTGTAGTTTGTTGGGAACGCTTTCGTGACGCTCCAAGTTTCTGAACCATCACATAAAAGCACTGACTTGACTGACATTAGTGTTGAAAACCCGGATCTTTTTCTTGATACTTAGTGCAGTAGATCTCCACGCTGATTTCGGATTGATGAAAGCCTGTTTTGCTTTCCTGATCCTGGCTTTGACATCCTCACCTGTGCCGCCGCCTGTAGTTGAAACGATGCTGCCTATATAGGTGAAAGAGACTACTTCCTTTAGATTTCTCCCGTTGATGTAATTATAGCTTGTTGTTGTTGGTTGGGTATCTTCATCACCTCTGTCTTCTCTACGTTCACTTGAAGTCCCGTTTCCTCACCTCTTGTGTCAGCTTGTTAGTTTTTGCGTGTAGATCTTTAAGTTTGTACGACATTAGACATAAATCATCACCGGCGAAATTCAAATCTTCTTCTAGGGTCTTTTCGTCTGTCAAACGACGTATGCCCATCTTCTCGCTCCTCACGGTTTGCTGCACTATCCAGTCGACCACAACCAGGAAGATCATGGGTGATAGTAAATGGCAACCTTGTCTTACTCCTGTCTTCACCTCAAAGGCATCACTGAGCTTTCCATTGTGGATCACTTTACATATAGCATCCTCATATAGCATAAAGCTGTTGAATAAGGTTGATAAAGATTTGTGGCACTAAAACTGTAGTGTTGAAGCAGTTTCCAAATTACTTCTCGGTTGACGCTGTCGAAGGCTTTTTCAAAATCGATGAAGTTGAGGTAGAGATTTGACTACCATTCTATGCTCTGTTTTATCATGATGCGTAGCGTTACAATTTGATCCGCACATGGTTTGTTCTTCTTGAAACCAGCCAGCAAGCCTGTTCCGGTCGTAATTTTGAATCCAGAGCACTTTTTAATCTCTCCAACATGATGCGGCGTAATATTTTGCTTGTGGTGGATAGAAGCATGATTCCGCGCCAGTTCTTGCAGAGACTTAGGTCATCCTTCTTTGGAGGTTTGACAAGGTAGCCCTTCTTCAAATCGGCAGATGTCTGTCCTTCCTTCCAAACCTTCTGCAATAATGGTGTGAGCATGTCCGCTCCTATCTTTGCGTCGTTAATGAAACATGCCAACTGCTAAAAGCACTCAATGTTCATATAAATACTTCGGTTTCAAGCTGTCGGTTTGGATATCCAAGTGAAAGTGCTTAGATTTGTATGTGATCACTTCACTAGGTCCACTTTTTATACCAAATTCATGCTCTGCCAAGGTGATAGTTGTGACTAGGTAACTGAATGTGACCAAGTAGAACCTAGTTTCGTCACTTCTTTGATTGAGGTTTGTACAACTTAGTGAAATAGCTGAAATTATTGAAGAGGAACTAAGAAATGTATGGTAGGTATGAAATACATAATGTTAGAATTCTGAGATTTACGATGAGAAATTTTGTCATGCCCAGCTTGATCGTACTTAATAGGCACGGAGTTTTCATGAATAGAAGCACTGGATCGTCGAAGAACAGAAGTCAGAGTTTTGCATTCACCAGGTTTACTTGTGTTGTGTGATTGCAGTAGATAGGATCTAATGATAATAGACACTTGAATTGTCCCGTAATCGAAACAATCAATGCCACACATTTTAACTAAGATTTGAAGTCAATGCTATTTTTGTGTTGAATAGTTAGGGAGAAGTATCGATCTGAACTCTAATAAGCACTAAGTAATACCAAATTCAGTGCACTGTTATGGCAAGTGACCCGACCTGCTAGTTATATTATTTTTTTTGACAGACCGAATTCATGCGTAGTCCCAAGAGATAAACAGAATAGTAACTTCGACGGTTTAACCTGTTGTTTGTCTAGAAAACAGAACTTATTCGTATTTCTAATTAGGTTGCACTCACCTCTTTCATATTACAATAAAAGGAAACTAATAAGAAGGAGGTAATAACAAAGTGTATTCACGAAGAAGATATGTAAATTCAGAAAGCAAAAGCATGTGAAATATTAGAGTGTTAAATATTCAAGGTAAGACAAACTGTTTGGTAATTGAGCACCAAGCAGCGTAAAACGTAGCAGAATTACTTATCGGTTCATTCGGCTATACTTCACATCATCACAGAGTAGAGAAAACACTGAGAAACAAATTTTTAAAAAATGAATCAGTAGCTGTGTGAACTGATAAAAATTAGGCAAGGGTAATATTAAGAGGGAAGCAAATAAATGATATGAAGTAATATGATTAAGGGACATGAAGAAAGATAACGTTTAAATGCGTGTAAACTACTTCAGTCGAGTCTGAACTATCGCATGTATTCCACTGGGATCGATTCGGTATCATATCGCCTGGAGTCTCTACCCACCGATTTAGGTTGTCAAACTAAGCTCGGTCATGAATTTTGTATTTCTTTACATATATCAAGACAATCAGAGACGTGGTGAACTGATGACATTTTTGCTCTGGTCACCTTTAACCTTTTACCAAGGTGTTTCTACTTCGGCCAGTATTATTTATTAGGATAGACGGTAGTTAAACCAGTCCAACACGCATTCCATCTGCCTTAGTCGATGAAAGTGTAATGTTTCACTAACTGACTCACCTGTCACCTAAAATTCTCCACCTGATTACTGCATTTTTGCGTGGCAGTTCCACAACATTCAAGTAATGCTATGAGGGTAACAGTGATCTAACACCTGTAGCTTTCGGTACAATAGCAAAACAGTGTCATATACTAGAGAGTATTTGAGACAGTTTATTGCTCTTAGTCATAGCATGATTATTATGCAGCTTGCAAGATAGTGGCAAAATAGGCGTCGGACTGTATGTGAAATAGGACAAAACTAGTAAATATACTTTTGTGTTATCATGCTTTTCTGTTTACAGAATGCATGGTATAAAAAGTCAGAGGGAGAGAGAGGACATATTTAATTGTATTTATTCATTTATCGTACTGATAAGTTTTACGCATCGAAGTGCAGTTTTGCTTAATTCTACTTTAACCCAATAACAAAGTACGTATTGATGCATTAGTCCGTAACTCACACTTCTTATATGAAACGACTAGTGAAATCATATGCTTGCATAAATATCACTACGGACGCTGGGTTTAAACATATAACTCAGTGATTAAAAGTCAGGTAGAAAAGCTGGTAAGCCATAATTTCTGAAGACTTTATGTAAACTTTTAAAAGGTACCAATAATATCATGGTTGATCTATGTCCCAAGAAATAAATATATTCTTGTTTTTATTTATGACTAGGACTGCTGTACGCTATTGGAGGTTTCGATGGAACTTCAAGACTAAACACAACAGAGGTATATAACCCAAAAACTAAAGTATGGAAAACTGTTGCACCAATGATTTGTCGACGTAGTGCAGCAGGAGCTGCTGCATATGATGGACGTTTGTATGTATGTGGTGGGTATAACGGACAAACATCTTTACGTACTTGTGAAATGTACACCCCAGAACAAGATACGTAAGTTAAAAACTAAAAGGGATATTGTGATGTGTAAAAAAGTCATTTTATTATTTATTTCTCTTTTATTCTCTGAGGGTCGTATAGTTATAAATGCGATTGACGAGAACTTCTAAGTCTAAGTTTCGTGTAAACTGAATCTCACCAGTTTTTGACTTCTGCTACCAAGAAGAAAGACATTATTCCTATGGAACTCTCAGATGTGTTGTTGGATTAGCAAACGCAGGTGTCACTATTGAATTAGTTTTGCAGTGAAATACCTGATCTGGGAACGAGTTGGTTACAATAATTAGTTGCCAGACAGTATTTGTGGTTCAGTTAATTTGTTAACGGAAATATTATATTGATGTCCAATGAAATAAACTCTAAAATAGGTGAGGTAGTACTTATTACGAACTGACATGATTCGAGGCATATATCCCGAAGTTCTTCTGCTAAACTGTGATCTGTGGAGTCAACCAGTCGGAAGTGAAGACCATAGATGATGGTCACGCTATATCGCGAATTGACAGAAGCAGGAAGCTATGGACCATTGAATTCCGACCTATTGGCTGAATGATTAGTGGGTTCACTATGAAACCTGAAGATCGTGAGTTCGATCCCTAGCCGGGTAGTGGATGCGTATCTGTGAGGAGTCCCGTACTAGGACGAAATATCTGTCCGGTGCTCCCAGGTTTTCAATAGTTCTCCAACTGATGTCAGTTCGTGGTGAGTACTACCTCAGAATTAAACCTCCCACTAACTTCAAAATGCATTACTGAAATAGATGTTAACTCTTACCTCGCCACGATTTACTAGCAACTTTCCTCAAAACTTGGCTAAATAAATATAGAAACACAGCTGTTGGTCGATAGACTAAATGTTTCTGTATTAAATGAACTGTAAACAGTCAACTAAAGATAATATGAAGGTCACAAGACAACCAATGAATTCACACCTGTGAGTTTGTTTGTTTTTGTAGCAACCAAGGCAATACCCTATCCCTGTGTTCAGTATACCCTGTCAGTCAATCAAAACAATGTGGTTATGAAGCTAAATAAAAATACAAGTTGTGCTATATGTAGTGGCGAACCTTAAGCTGTAATCGTTAGCGGCCTTTGAATCGAGCTTTCATACGCACAGGCACTAATTAGAAGAAATTATTTTCAATTTTACGTAAATACAATAGGTGACTGACTGTAAAAACCGACAAATCCTAGCAAGGTCATTAAGTGATTATCAGTTTGTGTTGATCAATCTAACTTTATCATAGGGTTATCTTTTAAAGGCTATAATCTAGCTAATACATCGTATCTAAATCTTTAGGTGGCAGTTGATACCGAGCATGAATGAACCGAGATCTGCTGGTGGTCTTGTTGCACTTAATGGTCGTCTTTATGCTATTGGTGGACATAATGGTTTAGCGGTTTTCTCAACAGTTGAATGTTATGATAAACGCGAAGGTGTACTTGTAAAACGTCCAACATCTTCAAGATATGAAACTACTTCTCATACATCTACTATTCAACAGAATAATACTAGTGGTTGGTATTCAGTTGCAAGTATGTTACACAGGCGTTGTCGACATGGTGCCGCTGCAATTCGGGATCGCATCATTGTTGCTGGTGGTTATGATGGTGCTTCTTTTCTTCAAAGTGTTGAAATGTTTGATCCAACAGTTGGTCCTGATTGTAATGGTTTACTTGGCCAATGGACCGAAATAACATCATTGTCAGTTCCTCGTTCTCGAGTTGGATTGGCTGTAACTGCCGGTTGTTTGTATGCAATAGGTAAGTACTATAATTTTAAGTAGATCAATCATCGTCACTAGTGTGTGATCGTTATTAATACAGTTTAAAAAACTGCAAATTTTCTTTAAACTGTAGTATTTGGTCACCAACCTTCTTTTTCATCAAACCAAAATCGTTAAGGCTTAATTTCTAAGACTCAGTCCATTCACACGATCCTGGTATTGAAATGGAGAAAATTCAGTACGATATAAATACCAGTTATAATGGTCACCCTAGCAACAGTAATCAATGAGACAAAGAGTTAATGCAACAGTCAAGGTCAAACTTCCATTAACAGTGAATTTCAAGCCCTATCAGTTAGCCATTGTTCATTGCTATACCATCGATGAAGATTTTTATTATTTTCAATGATATTATTCCAAAACACTATAGTCATATCTATATTCAGCTAAAGTTAACTAAATTAAATCAAGTGATCGTAATTTCTTCTTGAGAAAAGTTATTCAACCGAAAAGAATAATTTAGAAGAGACCAAAAACTAAAGTTACTACTTATTTAATGTCAAAGTAATACAGTCAGCTGAAAAAAGTACTAAAGATTTAGTAACTATAATAAGAATTGTGAGAGTACATGATGTTTTTTCACATGAGGATCACATTTAAAATACTGATTGGATAGTGATTCATACACTTATCGGTAATGTTGACGAGTTCCTTTGTAAGAGTATTGAAGAAATAAGTCTTCATTGATGTGATATGCTTTCTGTACGTGGTTACCGAAGTTGGGAAATGTTGAAAAATATCTTTACAGATTGTAGTCTGTTTACAGTTAGTGTATGTCTAAACTCGTAGATACACATTGCAGTTTTATGTTCTTATTCTGTCAATACCATATTGTTGAATCAGTTATTCCTTGGAAAAGTATGGTTCTCGGACTAGTTACCTTAAATTTCTTATTTTAACACTAAGCTTAGCATGATTCGATTAATTTCGTCAAGGTTATACCTGTAAATTTTCTCATTTGTGCACACCTTTTGGCTGTTTTCTCATTGTTATGATACGGAGTTGTGAGAACGAACAAAAATACTTAATGATTGATAGTCGAGGGTTGGGACGATTCAACTCGAGTGATTAGCTAAGAGAAACCAAAAGACTGGAAATCAGATGAGTTTATAGTATCTCGGATTGAAAACTTTTTATCAGTGAAAACGAATCCTATTTATAGAGTTTACAATAACCTTGAAGGGCAAGGAATAATTAGTACATTTAAAGAGGCAGCAGCCAATCAGAAAGCTAGTGGGTCATACGAAATATGACCTATGCCTAAGGAAAAGAGCGCAAAGTAAAACGGTTTAAATATACCCAAACTATAAGTATGGAATATGAGAGATATAGGCATCACTAACACTCATGTTACTCGATAATTAGCAAGCAATGAAGCGCTTTCGATTCACTATGCTAAAAATCTTGGTATTGTTACCTAATTGGAATTGAAGATTACCACTGATGTTACAGTTGAGTGATTGAAATTGTCATTTCCTCTGAACTGGTTTGCATCTATGCCTCATCTGATAATAGAAACAGAAGGGTTGAGTGCCTATTATGGGCATCGTAATGCTAGCTGAGGATTTGGATGCATAGAATAAACATCTACACTTAGAGTAGAGGTGTTTAAGTGATCAGTTGGTATTAGTGCGTTGCAAGTCACATGATGGAGATTGCCCTCTGGAACTTTGTAGAGATTACAACGTTTTTCCAGTTACCACTAAAATTTAATTGAAAAAATTAATGCTACTGAACCAAGAGCAGATGTTTATGTATTAACTAAGCTGAATCATACTTGTGACACGAGGGTTTATAGCAGTTGGAATGCCATTGTTAACTTCTATCACAACTATAACGGTCCTCTGCTTGGCGTCCCTTATATTCCACTGAAGCCTGCCTTCTAATAGATGGTATCACACATACAGATAAAATCAATGATGAAACCTCGCAGAGAAGTGCATCGGTTCAATTTGCCACACTTTCTACCAGAATAATAAATGAGAAGTAGATGAAAAAGAGTGATATTAAAGCAGACAAATGTATAGGAGGCATGAAAAAAGAATAAAAGTATCAAGGCTATTGAAAATGTTCAAATACGACTGTAGATTGATTGTAGTAAAGCAAATATATTCACTTTCCCTATTTCCCTAAACTCTGATCACTTATCAGAGCATTTAATAGTCAATTCAAGTTTATTTTGCCATATTTCGATGTCATTAGTTCCTTGCACTTGTCTGTGAAGTATAGTCATTTATGTATGTCCTTGCGACAGGCTACATATTAATCAGCCCATATTTTGTTGTTCCCTCCGATTCTCTACTCACATATTTGAACAAAATATTAATTGGAATAATAAATGTATGTAGATGATAATTAAGGGTAATGAATTGAGGAAAAAGCACACGTGATATTTTTCTAATAAAAATTTCTTTGACCTCTAACATTAACAAACATTGGAACTGTGGTTCATTGGTTTATTCATTCAACCAATAGATTACTTGGTTCACATTCTGTTATTCTGCCATACTTGTTATAATGTACCAGATTTTTATTATCACCTCTTATACAAAAGGCGTGGTCTATTAGCTTACTCTGAGATGAGGACGATCGACAATAAAGTCAATCTCAGGGTGAAACAAAGAAGACTTATCCACTGCACTGAATAATTAACTAACTTAACAAAAGCATCTATAAATACACTTTAATATACCTAACCACTGAAAATGGGTAACAAAATAGAGTTAGTCCTGAATTTCTAAAACAATAATAATAAACGAATCCGATAAACGGATAAACAGATAGCATTAAAACAGATCTTGAAATCTGATATCATCTCAAGTTACCATAATTCCTTTCGATGAAACGAAAGGTGTTGAAATGTGCTTGACCAGAAGAAGAAGGGAAACAAGGTGGTAACAGAAATAAATACAGAATCATAATGTTTCAAGGTATAAAGTGTCTGACTGACTGATAGAATCAACGTAGAACCTCCCACACAGGTCCATCAGGCCAAATAGCTACACTTCAGAGCACTACACAAAGAACAGGTGGATAGAAAAGGAGTGACATGAAAGTCAACAAAGTTGTGTGAGAGAATAAACAATATGGTTAATGCAAATACTCAAGCTTTAGAAGATGTCTAGGAGTGAATACATCTGTGCCAGTGTGGCTGATTTCCAGTTATGTCACCAACATTCCTCAACCACTGATTCCCTTTGTTTCGGGAACCCTAACCAGCTAGTCTACATCGTCCCACACAACTCACATCCATAGTGAGAGACTTCATCCATTGGTGTCACATCTTGATATGGCCACTCTGAATCCTCTTCCAACCGAATCCAACTTCCCCTAGCTCGCTAGCATCTCACATCGATGTAGGCAGTGGCTCGGCATGAGCAGTACATTGTCCAAGCCATCTGAGTAAACCTAGCTTCACAACTTCATCAATCGACTTGCCTGTCTTGCCTGGTATCCTTCTCTTGACCTCAACATCGCTGGCACAGTGATCCCTCCAAACGCGAGCAATGCTACGAAAACATCTGTGATCAAAACCCTGCAACCGCTTGATGTCGTCTACTTTTAACGGCCATGTTCCACAGCTGTGTAAGAGGATAGAATGGATTGGAGCGCAGTAGAGTTGTCGTTTGATAAATAGTCGGATATCTGGACAGTTGGCGTTAGGGGGTGATGCAAGTTGGCAAAGGCCAAGCGGGTCTTTTGTATCCGAGCTGATATTTCGTCAGTAAGTAACCCGTTCGAGTTGATGCAACTCCCTAAGTAGATGGAGTGGTCGACACATTCCACCACTTTACTCCCTATAATTAAGCTGGTAGTCATTGCTGATCTGTCCCTGAGCATCATCTTACATTTTACAGGCGCGATACCCATTGCAAGCATTCACAGATTTCTACTCAAAGCATGTTATAATATGCAGATAGATCTGCGCTGTTGTGACTGGTTTTCAGCCATATCACGTATTGATGTAGTTGCTAGGTGATGAACGAAAACCAACTACCAGAAAAAAAACGGCTGATTATCATTTTCATTTCCATTCTTCCACTTGGGGAACAAAAAACTTAATGGTTTGAACAAAACATTCTAGTTGAGTGCAGGTAGTTTACAAATAAGTTGCCATCTTCCTGTACATATGTGTATTCACACATCGTAAGCATATAACTAACAAAATTAGCGTATTAAGAGTATGCGAATCAAGGCAGCAATACCAGAGAGCAACGAAAGAGAATAAACTGACAATAGGACTCGCCGTTCTATTGATGTTAGTGGCTAATAGAGGAATCCAGGACGCACGTTCGGCCCTATTTGGGACTAGCCAGCTGGATATACCTGCACCCCAGGGAGTGTTGTTCCCACTATGGCTCGAACCCAGTACCCTTCTCTTCAAACGCCAGAACGTTATCCACTAGGCCACTGGGGAACGATAGCCACTTCTCGTGCAACAGGTCTCTCTTGTTGTAATGATACTTGTAGCTTCCTGTTGCTACACAGTGCTATATTATATCTTGATCAATCTCGTATTCTAAATGTCATCGAGAATATTTCTAAAAAGGCATTTTAGTTAACTTCACTCTGTTGTCTACCCTTTATGTTATTGTTGTGTAACTGTAATTTATTACCCTTAACCTGTTGAATCATGACTAGTTCGTTGTAAACTCACTTAAGCTATTGGTAAGAACTTTTAGAGAGTGGAAGGGTTGCTAAAACCCTATTCATTATTTACAACAGTCGAGTTCTGTATACATTTTAAGTCATATCTGTATAAAAGCTGGAGGTGGTAAGGTGAGCACTAAACAGAAGGCTCTGATTCCAAGCTATACACTATCTTCCACTCCCTGTGGAAAATAAAGCAGGGAGATCAGGTCAGTGACTTCCTGTCAAGTTGTTCCTGCTATATGACTTTAATTGCAATTCATTTCATTGTTAACTAACTTAGTTTGGTTAGGTTAATATACTGGTTTTTTAATTACTCTTATTACT